AAGGCTCGCGGCGGCGCCCAGCGGTCCCGGGCGACACGGGGAGCAGCGGGGAGCCCAGCGGCTGCGAGCCGCGGCCAGAGCCGCCGCCCCCGGCCGGCGAGCGCGCAGCCCCCAGCGCATGGCGCCCCTCAACTCACAGGCGGCCTCGGCCGCGCGCACCCGGACTAGCCCGAAGCTGAGAAACTTTGGGGCGAGCCGCAATGCGCATGCGCTGAGCCCACTGTCAGAGACCCCCAAAGTGCCTCAGGTGTGTGAGAGTGCGCATGCGCGGAGCACCGGAAGGGCGTGGCGGCGCGCGGGCTTCTGGGTACACTCCGGAGCGGTTCTGGGTATTTGCTGCGGCTTAGCGATCGCTCGCATTTTGTGATTTGTTCCTTTGCTTGGCAAGCGCTAGGAAGCTGAAGCAGCAGCGTTGCAAGTTTCAGCCCTGGAAGGGCGTCTTAGCATCCATCTCAATTACTTTTTTGTTACTGTGACAGAGTACCCAACACCTACAATTGAAGGGAGGAAGGTTTTATTTAGCTCCCAAGCTGTACACGGTTCAGACCATGATGGGCTGGTTCCTAGGCTGAGTGACTTGCAGGCGGGAATCACAACGGAAAAAGTCCATAGCAAACCAGGGAAAAGAAAAGCCTCTTTGTGTCCCATATGTCATATCCAGGCGAGCAGAGGTAGGAGGTGCCAAACCAGTCACTGGCCTGACTTAGTAATCACACGCTCAACGCCAGCATCACAGTCTAGATTCTTCAGTCTGAAAAAGTCCCACCTATGACCGCTTGAGGCTTTGGGGGGCACATCTAGGCCCAAAGCATGACAGCATCTGAGCGGGACCTATTTCAAAATAAAACAAGCGCAAAGGAGGGGGCTGCAGTGTAGCTCAGTGTGAAGGTCTAGGGGTTCAATCTTCAGTACTGGGGAGGAAAGTTATTTAATACAATAAACCTGTGATGACACTCAGTATGTAATCAGTAAAAATTACCAAGGTGTCTTAACATCCCCTCATGCTGAGTCTTTGAAATTTGAAGCATACACAGCCAGAACATCTCTCTGCACTGGTCACAGGTCAACAGCCGGCTGGAGCTCAGTGCAAATCCACTGCCCCCATGACCCTTAATGATACCCCAAGGCTACCTTTTCTGTCCCTGACGGTTCTCTGACTCCCTATGCACCCCAAACCTGTGGAATAGTGTGGTGTGCAAGGCAGCCTCCACTCGAGTGTCCCACAGGCCCAGCTCTCTTTGCTGGTCCATTTCCTGATGTGATCAGCGCTTGGGGTGACAGCCCCAGACCAGGGGCTCACAGAATACCAAGGCTGGGCACTGTCCTCTGTGCTGGGAAGTGCTTTGATCAGCAAGCCCACACCTGGAAGGTCAGTGGAGTCCCAAACCCTGCCAGTAAGGGCTGACAGAGATGAGATTTGATAGGAAGAGGTGCAAAGACAGGGTTGAGCACACAGAGCTGAGGGTACAGGGTGGCAGCACAGGTGACCCAGTGTAGCCAGGGGACCTCAGGCTGGCTCTGTGAGGTGCTTAGGGGCACAGGCCCAGACCTGTCCTGACCTGATGGCTCCTGTCCAAGGGGACACCCTTGTCCCTCCAGGGGTAACTGCTCCTCTTTGGGTCAGGGCCAGCATAGGTCACCTGTTCCTCAGCTCTCTGTTCGTTGGGGAGATTTGGTCCTGTGTCATAAGGGTCTCTATCCATCAGAGTTACTGATCTCTGAATCCAGGTGCCTTCAGGAGAGAGCAACTCAGATGGGGGAGAAAAAAGTTAAGGAGGCAAATGGAGGTTAGACCCAGAGGAAATGGAGTATGCCAGGCTAGTGGCTGAGCTCTCATTCAAATACAGGTCACAACTGTCACCATCTTGTGGCAAAGTGAACCCCTTGGGAACAGCCTTCCTCATGACAAAACACACCACACAGCCTTGCCACGCATAAATAAAAACACTGACAGATTTATTATTTTTGAAGCAACAACCCAGATTTGCCTCAAACTTGAAATCTTCCTGCCTCGGCTTTCCTAGTGCTGAGATTACAGATGTACATTGCCAACTTCACTTGGAAGTTAATAGATTTCTACAAAAGTGAAAGAAACACAGAGCAAAAAAAAAAAAAAAAGAGCGAGAGCAAGATGACAGGAAGACAAGGGCCTGAGTTCATTCCCCAGTTCTGCCAAAAAAATAAATAAAGATAAAATCAAGCTCACAAAAGTTACATAACTTGTGCAGCTCACACAGCTAAGAAGGAGCAGAGCAAGACGCAAAGCCAGGCGCTTACGTCCAACGCCCCTGCTCAGAATCACCATGTCATGTTGCCAGGGCGCACTTACAGAACAGCAGGTTTGCAGGCACATTGTAACACGAGTTGGAACTCAGTTCGTAGCCTGCGACTGGGTCATGCTGCCTGTACTGTAGCTACTGGCCTTGACTGTCTCAGTCCAGACTCCCCCTTAACAACGTGTGTGTCGGACCAACTGGGTCTGGCTTGTGTTTTAAAACTACACAGTAATTTCTGCTTGCTTCAGGTCTTCATGCCAGCAAGTCTGGGGAACACCAGCCAGTCAAGGACACTTCCACTCAACCCACTCTTCTCAGACCCTGTCCCTCCCAGAATGTTCCTGTGCAAACCAGCCTGGCCAGACATGACACAATTCTTGTAGTCCGTGTAACCAATTATGTAATAATCTGCTATCAGCTTTGTATTTTCTGCTTTCAAAACATAATTAAACTGAACTCGAATCTCACTCTAGGCTGCTGATTTGAGCCGCTGGGTTCCCTAGCCCGCTGTTGTAATAAAAATTGCCTTCTAACTGCTAGCTAGGTGCTAAGAGTCTTCCATTTGGATTGATACTGATGTTTCTGCAACAGTGTCACCTCTCCCTCACTACACTGGAAGAAAACACTTGCATCACATTAAAAAACAAAAAAACCACGTTGCCAGGAATGGTGGTGAATGCTTGTAATCCCAGCAATGGGGAGGCTGAAGCAGGAGGATCACTGAGAGTTCAGTACCAGCTAGGCTACAAAGTGAGCTCACCGCCAGCCTTAACTGCATAGCTATACCCTGTCCCAAAAAAACAAAAACAAAAACCGTCCAATTTTAGGAGCCATAAGCACAATCAGCTAAAATAACCCATTACAACAAAAACTAAGAGTTTTTGAGGGTCTCTGACCGTAGTGCGAAACGTTCACTGTTTTTCTTGTATGACTTAGTAAAGCCCATCAACGTAAAGATATTTTTTGAAGTGATCCTCCTGCCTCGGCCTCCTGAGGTCTGGGATGACTGGCGTGCCACCACGGCCAGCTTTGTTCTTTTTCTCCAATGCTGTTTATAATGATCATTCATAAATCTTCCTATTCCCCTTTGACATACAACTGAAAAACGACAGCCAGGGACGCAATCCTTTCTCCGTGTTATGACCGGGTCTGGCCACACCTGCGGCGGCTCGGAACCCCGGGGTGGGGGGCGGCCGGGCGGCGGGGCTGTGGTGCGCCTGCGCGGGAGTCCCGCATGCCCAGTAGCGGGGTGCGCGGTGACCTCCGGACTCCGGAGCGCGGCAGTGAGCGCCGCGAGGGACCTGCAGCCGAGAGCGCGCTTTCGGGTGCTCCTCCAGGGTCTTTCCTCTGTCCTTGTCGCAGCTTTGGCAACAGTAAGTTTTTCCTCCGCCAGGGAGGGCGGGGCGCTGGACACCACTGATTGCTAGTTTCCTTAACTCCACCATGCTTTTGCACAGATAAAAGAGATTTAAAGCACGTGTGTTTAAAAAACAAAGTTTACTCGAATCATGCTGCCTCTCCAGGTATCTCGGTTACAGGTCTGCTGTCAACATTCTTTCCTTAATTTGGAGGATTTGAAAGGATTGCGTAGCCTAGGGTGGCCTCAGCCTCGCGGCGGTCCTCGGGTCTCGTCCACCCCAGGGCTGCGGTTACAGCTGTGCATCACCGCTCGGGCCGGCGGGAACGTTCCGTTTCCCTGTGCTTTCCTTTTCCTGCTCCGGGGGGCCGTTTTCCACTTCCATATGGACCTCCTTCATGCATCCGGGCTTAGACCTTCTTCCACATAACGCTACTTTTCGTGATAGCAAATACTTCCGGCTGCCGTTTGGACCTGTTTGCGGGCGTGCTTGCCGAGCTGGCGTTTCCCTGCTTGTACGTTTCTTCGGGTTTGCTCCCGGGGTGCTCGGCACCGAGTTCCCACCCCCGGGAACCGGGCAGGCTGTACTGTCCGCGCCCCTCAGACGTGGACGCTGCTGCTTCATCTGGCTTTACTTGTGTTTCTTTCATAATCCGTGAAGTTGAACCTTTTGTGTTTTTCTAGAAAGTCCCGCTGCTTCGTAGGTCCATTTTCCCCTGGATTATTCACCTTTGGCTACTGACGGAGCCCTGTGCAGATTAGCTCTGTTGACTGTGTGGCACAGATTTTTTTTTCCTCCGTTGTCAATTACGTGTTAACTCGGGTATTTTGGGCTACATCAAAATTTTAAGTTTGTGCAAATTCATCCATATAGTGTATTTTATGAAGTTTTGGTTGTATGGTTTCAAGGCCTTCACAAGTTTATAAAACACTTATGTACTATTCTTTTTTTGTACTCTTATTTTTCATATTTTAGTTTTAATTAAAAGCTAGTTATTGGGGCCAGGGAGATGGCTCAGCGGAATAAGTGCCTCCCTGGCAAGCTCAAGGGCCTGAGTTCAATCCCCAGTTCTGCCAAACAAACAAACAAACAAACAAAAAAGCTAGTTATTGACCCAGAGTGAATTTCTATGTTATTTTATTTTTGGCCTCTTGAGACAGGGTCTTGCTATGCAACTCAGGCTGGCCTTGGACTCACTTTGTGGCCCAGGCTGGTCTCGAACTTGCAGCGATCCTCCTTCCTCCGCCTCTGAGTACTGGGATTACTGCCGTGTGCCATCACCCCCTGCCAGAGTGTTTTTTTTTTTCAGAGTGTATTTTTATATAAAGAATACAAAAAAAAAAGAATACAAAAAACAATTTTTTTTTAAAGCAAGTTAGCAAGTGCCTGCCATTGCCCCATAGTTGACTTTCCTCTTTGGTTTTTAAGTACACTCCTAGCGTGTTTGGATTTATCTCTGGAATGTATTGCATTCCGCTTGTCTGTCTGAGTTGTGGCGCACTTGTGCCACATTCTGATTCCTGGGAGGCGAGACCCTCTCTTCCTTGTTCTTCTTCTGAATTTGCTAGTCTAGTCAAGCTCACATTTTCATTTTCCAGATGACCTTGAACTTCAGCACCCTTTGGCCAGGTTCCAAGTGGAAAATGATTTCAGCATTTCGATTGGGAGGAAGTTGGGTCACTTTAGATACTGATCCCCCCTCGCGGGCCACCCTTATATTGCACTAAAGATGCCTTGCCCAGGCGGTGAGAAGAAGCTGCTTGTTTGAGTCCTGTGATTTTTTTACCCTTCTGAATTACCCTTGTTGGTAGTTGTACTTTGTATTTTCTTTTCTTTTCCTTTATTTTGTTTTGCTTTGTGAAGTGCTGGGGGTCAGTCCCGGCCCTTGAGTGTGCTAAAGGAGAGAGGGCGTCCTGCCACAGCTACATTTTCAGCCCTGCTAAGGTTTCTCAAATGCTAGCAGGTGTGGTGGTGCTGCACCCTGGGGGCCAAGGCGGGAGGATGCCAAGTCAAGGATAACTTAAGTTACCTAGTGGACTCAAAAACAGCCTAGACTACCCAGCAAGACGATGTCTCAAAGATTACCCGGATGGATGGGGTTAGGGTGGTTGCCTTAAGAGGTAGGCAGCTGGGCTGGGGATGCGGCTCGGCACAGCTCCTACCCAGAGCTGTGCAACCCCTGTCACACTTACTTAAGCTTTCCGCCCAGGAGGAATGAAAAGGAACCTGTGTGTGGTTCAGGGCATAGTAGTTACTGTCTGTTGTACACCCTTATGTCAAAGATCCTTGCAGAAACTATGGGAGCGTGGACCTTGACGCCGTCCCATGCCCCTGCTGGAGGACCAGAAATGAGCACCAGCGTGGGGTGAGGCTCGCCTGTGGACTCGGTGCTTCCCCACGTTGCTTGTTCGGCAGCGCCAGTCCTGTTCCAGGAGGCAGCTGAGTTCCTGCATACTACTGCCGAAGGTCTTTGAGTTCAAGCTAGGAGGATTTCAGCCGCTCTGTCATTGCACACCTAAGGGTGCCTGCCAGGATGTCAGCGCTCTAACTGCGGCACTGTTCTGACTCAGCCTCTAGGAAGGCTCGATCCCAGAGGGAGAGATCAGGACCCATGAGGAAGACCGATGTGATTCGAACTGCCTGAGCCTGTTGCTGGTTCCGCCTGGCTCTTAACCCAGCTGCCACCATAGATGTGGTTCTCTTCTGTGCCCTGGGTGGTACAGGACTGAGGGCTGCAGGAACACCTCGAGCAGGGGCTGGGCTTTGATACTGTAGTTCAGTGCATTTTCCTTATGCCAAGAACCAAAAATGAGTCTTTGTTTAAGAAACATTTAAGAAAAACATTAGGCCTGGGGACTGTGACAGGTCATTACTGCTTCAGAGTGGACTGCGAAGGGCATCCTGCAGAGAAAATAATGAGGAGGTTTCCCCCTTCCCACGTCGAGTGACATGTGGGGTTTGTTGAAATCACTGTTCTCCCTGGGGTTAGACTGCATTTTTCCATTCTTCTTTTCTTCATCACTTCCTGTAAATGGATGACAGCTTTCAGTGGTGCTTAATGAAAGCAGGGCACAGTTTGTGAGGAAGGAGGAAGACATGGAAAACCTTAGTGTTGTGTGCCAGTTGGCAACCACTGCACACAAGGATGTGGCTGAGTTGCAGGAAGGCTGCGCACACGTATCTGAAATATCGGAGCCACACCCTCCTGACTCTTTTATCAAAGGAAATCACAAACAGTGGGGTCAGACTGCACAGCAGCTCACAGATGTCCCACGTGGACACCAAGGTGTGGCACTCTGGTTGCCTGAAGCCAAGGCCACTGCCGAGCCAATCAGATACCTGGCTGGCTGTGGAAACACAGCAGTAGAGATAAGGCCCAGGAAGTAGTTGTTAAATTTCTCTTTGCTGTGAACCTGAATTAGTATTGATCATAACACGTTTATTTCACATGTAATATGCCAAGAAAATTCTGTAATAAAATAAACAATTAAAATACTCCGTAGAAACCCATTTTATATTAATCATAATTCCAAACACGTAAAGTATGGCCAAAGTATGGTATTCAGTGCCATACGTCAGTTTTGTTTCTGTCTTTTTTTTGAGATGGGGGTCTTGCTGTGTAGCCAGCCTGGCCCCGCACTCACGGCAGTGCTCCCAGTGCTCCCGCCGCAGCCTCCCAAGTGCCGGGTTTACAGATGGACCCCGCTGTGGAGGGCTGTGTCCATCTCCAGAAGCTGTGTGGGGTGATGGGAGGCTGTGTCTCCATGTCCTGTCCCTTCAGATGGTCTTCAGTTCCTTGGGTTGTTTCTTGTTGTCTCTTTCGGAGATGGGAAAAATAAAATAGGTGAGAGCTATTAAGGCTCTAAAAGAGTATTCACTGATTTTTAGAAGGCAGTTGTACCCACGGGCAGTGCCACCCCCTTTAAGGCGGTGCTGGGACAGAAGGCGGGACCTCGCACATGATGGGCCGGCTGGTCCCTGAGCCAAGCCCATGTGTGCATTAATCTCTGTGGTGCCCATACCGGGTTGTTTTTGCAGAGTTGGGCATGTACCCGAGACCTTACACCTGCTACACAAGCGCTCACCACCAAGCTACAGTTCCAGCGCTTTTTAAAAATTTTTCTGTTCAGATACAGTCTCCCGGAGTTGTCCAGGCTGGACTTGAACTCGCTACCTTCCTGCCTCAGCCTCCAGAGCACTCAAATTACAGGTGTCCCCCACACCTGCCTGGCCCACGGTAGCTATATAGTACATTCACTGGGTTACATGTTTGTGCCACAGCCCACAAAACTGGGCACCGCTGTCCCTGACGCGCACCCGGAGCCTGTCAGAGGCACCTTCCAGGCCTTCACATGTGGCACACCTCACACACACAGCTTTCTCACACCCCAAGCAGCCAGGCCGGTTTCCCCCATGCTGTGAAATGGTCAGAAGCAGTGAGGAGTTTGGTGGCGCTTATCAGAGGTCCCCTGCAGCTCACGGGTGGGGGAAAGAAGCAGCATGGTAGCTGGCCCTGCAGTCACGTTTCTGGCCTCTCCCCTTGCAGCCCACCATGGCCGCAGGCCCCACGGTGCTGATGCGCTTGGTGGCCTCAGCCTACGCCATTGCACAGAAGGCCGGGGTGATCGTCAGACGTGTGATGGCTGAGGGAGACCTGGGCATCGTGGAGAAGGTATGGGGGCTGCAGCCCGTGGCGCTGAAGTGGAGCTGGGTGCTGTGGTCCCTGACATGCACTCTGAGCCCTCGGACGCCAAGTCCTTGCTCTTCAAGGCCGTCCTTATGGCAATTGACCTTATAAGGACTTAAAAATAAACAAATCTGGGGCTTGCCCCAAAAGAGGGCTGGTGGGCAAGGGGAAAGAGGAGAACCACGTGTGCCACGTGCCCGCTGTCCATAGAGAGTGTAATCAGCGTGTGCTGCCGACAGGGACCCGGCGAAACCAAAAAGATGAACTAGGAGAGAGAGAAAAAAGTGGAAAACTAATGTTCTTGGCCTTGTGGCACAGTCTCTCGCTTTGTAGTTCAGGCTGGCCTGCAACTTGGGGTAATCCTCCTGCCTCAGCTTCCGGCGTGCTGCTGGGGTTACAGGTGTGCGCCACCATGCATACATTTTTTTGTGTGGTGCTGGGTATCAAACCAAGGGCCTTGTACATGTAAGACGCACTCTACCACCGAGCTACATCCCAGCCTGGAAAAAAACGGTTAAGACGGTTTTCTCCACGTGACTCATCTGCCCTGGCTGGGCTCCAGCTGTGATGTCTGCTATGAGAAACCCAAAAGAGAGAGCAGAGTGAGAGACAGTAGGGAGGCGGGCCGCTCTCTGATGGGAAGGGAGTGGACGTCTGTTGTGCCCAGGTGGCCACACGCCCACCCGGAATGCAATCCTTGTGTAATGCAGACCTGGGCTGCTCCTAAAAATGAAAGCTCGAGTTTTAAATTCCTATCTTTCAACCCTTTTTTTTCGTTTTAAATCTTTGTTATCAGTGCACGTGTGCGGTGTGCAGCGATCGAACGCCTCCTGGGGAGCTGGCGCCTGCCTGCCACCTCTTGATTCTTTCTACTCGCCCCAACTGCCCTGCGCCCCCACTGTCTTTTGATCCCTCTCTCTCTCATCTGAGTGATCTTATGAATGACATATTCAACCAAGGAAGAAAATATTCTACATAATTTGAAAGCATTTTTCCAAAAATAAGAATAAATAAAGCATTTTTCCAAACATTAGCTGCCCTGGGGCAGGGGTGCAGTCCAGAACAGAGCACTTAGCTGACAGCTGCTGGAAAAAGACCCTTCTGCACTGTAAGCACAGTGGATCCACGGGAAGAAAAGCCAGAGGCTCGCTGGCTGGCTGTGCGTTCGCTCTGGCGGGGCATGAGCTGCTCGGATGCCTGTGCGTTTAGAGGTAGGATTTCACTGTCCGTGAGCTCTGCCCCTTTGTTGCAGACCTGCGCCACAGACCTGCAGACCAAAGCCGACCGGCTGGTGCAGATGAGCATCTGCTCCTCCCTGGTGCAGAAGTTCCCCAAGCTGACCGTCATCGGAGAGGAGGTACGGGGGAGGGCCCCAAGGTTACCTCCATCTATCTGCCTTCTGGCTCAGTAACTGGCACTACGGTGGCACTGTCACAGGTCAGCTCTCGGACTCAGCTTCCCAGCACAGTAGTGGTGCCGTATTCCTTAGAGGGGACCCTTCCTGGGGAGCATTCTGGTCCCTTTCTAGGTCGTGTCCTGATATGCCTTCTGCTGAGTGGCTCCTTTACAGTTGCAGTTCTCGCCATGGGCTGGCCCTGCAGCTCAGTCGGGTGGGTGGGGCAGACCCAGACCTGGATTCAGCCCCGGCACCACACAACGAGGGACAGAGTTCGGGGCAAGCGGTGTGCCTCCGTGGCAGAGGGTCTGCTTAGCAAGCGCGACACACTGGGCTCCGTACCAGCACCACAAAGTAAAATGAGAAAGATGTGCAGAGGGGTAGAACATTGGGAGAGAATGGGCTCTATTGTTTGTGTCTAAAGGGAGGCTTGCCTGTCTATGTCTCCAAAGATGGTCACACTCTGGATGTGAAAAATAGCTTGTTCTCGCTCTTCTGCTCTCTCTTAATGAGGAGGTTGGGTTTTTTTTTTTTTTAATTTTTTTTATTTGTTTATTTATTTATTTATGTGTGTGTGTGGCCTGCTCAGCCCACCAGGGGGCGGGGCGGGCTGGCATGTGGTGCTGGGGGATCGAACCGTGGTCCCTGTGCTTTGCTAAGCTTGTTCTAAGTAGGTGCTTTAGACCACTGAGCCATCTCTCCAGCCCGAGGAGGTTGGTTTTTTGAAACAGAATCTTACTTTGTTCTTCAGTCTGGCCTTGAACTCAGTACATCGCCCATACTGGCCTCAAACTCATGGTGATCCTCCTGCCTCAACCTCCCAAGTGCTGAGATGACAGAAGTGTGCCACTGCACCTGGCCTTTAGATATCTCTTTGTTTTTTTTTTTTTTTTTTTTTTTTCTGATGGAACTGGGGATTGAACTCAGGCCCTTACGCTTGCCAGGGAAACGCTTATTCTACTGAGCCATCTCCCCGGCCCCTTAGATATCTCTTCTGAGAGTAAAATAATGTTTTCTTTTTTTGTCTTTTGGGTATGTTTCTCGAAGTTTAGAAGCAAAAGATCTTTTCTTTCTAAACCCTGCTCAGGATGTTGACACTGGGACAAGGTGGCCAATTTTAATGGCTCACATGTAGGGTCTTGGTGGTTTTCTTGGGTTTGCTGGAAAGATTTCCACGTGCATGGTAAGGAGAAGCGCCGGCAGAGCGTGACTGCCGCCTCGTCCGTGCCGCACCATTCAGGCTGCTCGGTGACCTCCGCGGCTTAGTGACTGTCTGCACTGCCCGTATCTCTGGTACAGGACCTGCCCCCGGAGGAGGACGTAGACCACGAGCTCATTGAGGACGGCCAGTGGGAGGAGATCCTGCAGAAGCCGTGTCCGGCACAGTACCGCAGCATTAAAGAGGAGGACGTAAGGGCCAGCTTCCAGTGCACGCTCCACTAACCCCTGCTTCTTGCTGTAGCCTTGTCAATGAAGAGTCAGTAATTAAGCTGGGTGTGGTGATGCACCCTGTAACCCCCCGCACTCTGGAGGCTTAGGCAGGAGGATCGTTGCGAATTTGAGACCAGACCAGCCTGGGCTGAGCTCAAGGCCGACCTGAACTGCACAGTGAGATCCTGTCTTAAAAAGACCAAAAAAAAAAAAAAAAAAAAGTCAGTAATTATACTTTGGAGACTCGGTGGTCTCAATGTGTAGTTCAGGCTGGTCTTGTAGTCACTGTGTGCCCTCAGATTTATAGTGATCCTCCTGCCTCAGCCTCCTGAGGGCTGGGATTATAGGCATGCACTACCACACCTGGCCAGGAACCTGAAATCTTTCAGAGCCATTTAAGAGGTGGAATTTGGCCATGTGAGACATTTGTCTATTGATTTAGGTTTTGTACCCTAAAGCCATTATTAAAAGTACTTTTAGGAAGACACCCTTTTATTTTGATACAGGGTCTTGCTATGCAGTTCAGACTCATAGTGTTTCTGTTTCAGCGTCCCCAGCACTGGGATTACAGGTATGTGCCACCATGCCCAGTTTCAGGGGCCAGCATGGCATACAGCACCGGGGATCAAGCTCGGTCTTCAGCTTGCCAGGCAGGCGTTTAGCCTGCTCAGCTATCTCCCCAGCGAGAGTCCTATTTTTTTGTATAGTAGATGTGGTAATAAAACATTTCATTGAATGGGCTAGGGAGACGTCTCAGAGGAATAAGCACTTCCCTGGCAAGCGCAAGGGCCTGAGTTCAATCCCTGATTCCGCCAAAAAGAAAAAGATTTCATTGAGTTGAGCATGATAACTCAAGATACTCAAGAGGCTGAAGCAGGAAGATCATGTTTGAGGCCAGCCTCAGGAACATGGTGAGATGCTGTCTCACAATAAAAAACAAAAGCACAAGGTGGTGGCTCAGGGTAAGGCATTTGCCTACTGCATGTGAGGCCTGGGTTCTGCCCTTGTACCACAAAGAACATTTTATCCTTGGTAACTGGGGCTGGAATGAGATGAAGCAGGTACTCTGAGGTTTTTGGGGGGCTGGGTACATCAGCTCACTTATTATAATTGTGCAACGTAAAGTAATCCTTGGCTTCAGACTTAGTCGTTCATCTCCATCTTTCTATCCATAAGTCATTTAACACACTGACTGAGTACGTACTGCTGTGGGTAAGGCACTTTGCGCTGTGGTGTGGGGGACACAGAGAAGGATACATGGCGCTGTTCATCAGAGATGTGCTCTTGCCGGAGATGGTGGGTGCATGCTTGTAATCCCAGCACCCTGGGATGCTGAAGCAGGAGGGGTCCAAGTCCCAGGCTAACCTGGGTAATTTAAAAATTGAGCAAGACCCTGTTTGAAGATAAAGAATTAAAAAGACTAGTGGTGTAGGTCATTGCAAAGGCTTCCCAGAACCAGATATCAGATAGATAGATAGATAGATAGATAGATAGATAGATAGATAGACAGACAGACAGACGCACTCAACAGAGCCACACCAGGTAATTCTAGCGGTTAACGGCAGCCCGACCCACATCACCCTGGAAGCCCTGAGAGGGAACTTGGTTCTTTAAATGTTGTCAGTTTCACAAGCCCTTTGTTTTCATTGGCTCATCTGAACAGTGTCCTGTAGGAAATCAGACTTTAAAAAAAAAATTGGGGGGCTGGGGAGATGGCTCAGTAGAACAAGCACTTGCCTGGCAAGTGCAAGGGCCTGAGTTCAATTGCCAGTTCCGCAAAAAAAAAAAAAAAAAAGAAAAAAGAAAATAAAAAATCGGTACTGATATGTAAAGAGCAGTTGTAAACACGGTGTTTCACTTCGCCAGTTGTCCCTATCTTACGTCTAGGACAAGTCTATACCTATCTAGAATGGGTGGAATCCTGTGTAACTTTATACTTGATCTCCTTTTGTAAAATTTTTGTTTTGTAGCTTGTGGTTTGGGTTGACCCTCTGGACGGCACCAAGGAGTACACCGAAGGTATGGCTGGTGTGTTCTGTTTCTCAGTAGGAAGCCCGGTCTGGGTGCTCTGTTGTCCATCTGATGGTTGGTGTATTCTTTACAAAGCTAGTGCTGTGGCTTATGCCTCCTCCTAGGACGTGGCAGCTGTTACCTACCTCACATCCATGACTACTGAGACAGGGAAGCCGGGCGTGATGGCGCACGCCTGTAATCCCAGCACTCAGGAGACTGAGGCAGGAGAATCCAGAGAGTTTGAGGCCAGCATGGGCAGCACAGTGAATTCGAGGCCAGCCTGCACTACATAGCGAGACCCTGCCTCAGAACAAAACAAAAAGAACTCATCCATTGATAAATAAGGAAGCTCCAGATGGCTTTAATGGTATTAACAGAATGTAGACGCGTACTTGCGTGTTGACTCCCACACCAGACGCTTTTGATTTCCTCCTCTGGTCTCAGGGCAGCTCCCTTATAATTTGTGCATTTCACTATAAGAGGGGCTGACCGTGGATGAATAATGATTTAGTAAAAGCCTGTCTGAAAATAAAGAGTAAAAAGATTGAGGATGTACCTCCGTGTCAAGGCTTCCCAGTACCAGAAAAACAGATGACAGACAGACAGACAGAAATGTGCATTCAGAAAACAGATTCACATCAGGTTCCTTTCTTACCTGTCTTTCAAAACTAACTTGAGGCAGCTGATGTGCTGCTGAAGAGTCCTAGCCCAAGAAAGATCTAGAATCGGCATTTCTTCTTTGTAGGTCTCCTGGACAATGTGACCGTTCTCATCGGAATTGCCTACGAAGGGAAGGCCATAGCAGGGATTATTAACCAGCCTTATTACAACTACCAGGTATTGTTATGAGCGACACAGGATATCTGAATGCAGCAGTAATCATGGTGTTATGTGACTCCTGATGCCATTCAACCTGGTGGTTCCTAGCTCGGTTACAAAGCCCCTCGCAGTGTAGATTCCCAGGTCCTGCCCCCGTGGAGTCAGAACCCAGGCTTACGGACGCTGGGCAGGGATACGTGTGCACACAGACACATTGTGTGCGTTGTAGTTTTTATGTGCTCAGGATAAAGTGCCCAAGTGTGGGAATTACGCATGTGGTTCTTGGCAGCCTGCTCATCGGGACACCTGGCTTTCAGGTGGCTCTTGGAGCACACTGAAGCAATGAACCATTGCAGCCAAGATGGGACTCTAATCACGTGGCTTCCCAGGTGATGTGGCACAGAGCATAAACGCGTTTCCATAACGACTGTGCCCTTGCGCTCTGTCGCTTTTGTTTCCACTACTCTGCTCTGACTTTCTGTTCTTCAGAGACATTGTCTTCCTTACCAGCGAGAGTCTTGTCGGTGAGCGTGGTAGCGCATGCTGATCCTCGTGCTCTTGGAGGCTAAGGCTGGAGGATTGTAAGTTCAAGCCCAGCCAAAGCAGCTTGACTTCGCAAGACTGTCTCGAAAGAAAAGCATTTCAAATCCCTGAGCTCCATCACTGATGCCTTCCACCCAAAGAAGCGAGAGACCTGCGTCATTTCAGATGATGACTGCATCATGAAACGTTTGTTTTGTCTTCTTGAGGCAGGTCTTGCTGGGCAGCTCAGGCTGGCCTTGAGCTCACTGTTAGCCCAGGCTGGTCTCGAACTTGCACAGATCCTCCCATCCCGGCCTCCTGAGAGCTGGGATTGCAGGCATGTGCCCCCACAGTCAGCTCCATTAAACAATTTTAGATGAAATTATTGAGAGGAAAGACTTTAGGTATCTCTATAATATTAATGTGATTTTCATAGAACTTTGGAGAAACAAAGTGGTATTGAGGTTAGTATTTGTAGACTTTCTCATTTAAGAGCAGGATAAATCTTCACTTTTAATATGAGTATGTATTTCCTGCTGTTTGTATGATTATAAACTGTACTTGCAGCTACATATTTCTTAGGACTTAGAGCAGGTGCGCACTATCGGGACGGCCTCACGTGAGTGACGTAGGTGTCCATGAATCCTCACGGGCTGCGATAGCGTGCACACAGCATTTCCGCGGACAGAAGCCTGGGGTTCCCGTGTGAACGGGAAAGCACGACCCTGCGCTTGCTTCCGATTGCGTGGGACCGTCCATCGCAGGAAAGAGCGACGTGCCTAGGACTTGTTGCTAATTTTCTCCCTTTCTTTCGGAGAGTAGAGACACTGTATTCATTCTCTGCAGAACGATGAAAGGCAGACACTCAGGGAGCTCAGCGAGAAGGCAGAGGTGAGGAGGCCAGGGCCTGGCTGCATGGAGGGGAGAAGAGCTGGTGTGGCCCCAGCACGGCCCAGTAGCCCCAGCACGGCCCAGTAGCCCCATCCCGCTGTCCCCTTTGCCCCTCTCCTTGGCCACATCCCTTCTGTCTGCTGTGTGTTTTCTCTTTCCTTCTTTCCTGCTTTGGCTTCGGCTTCTTTTAGCAGTTGACTGTCAGGCTGCAGTGCATCAGGCCCGGAACAGTGCGCATGACCAGGCTTAGGGACCCACACACGTGTCTCTAGTGCTCACCCGGCCCTGGGAGCCCTGTCCCCTTCTCAGGCAGAGAGCTCGCCAGTCAACCTGAGTGGTGGCATCTGGGGTACAGTCAGGGCCAAACTTCATTGTGCTTCTAGGCAGATCCACTGAGCCACGCAACTGAATTTCAGCTTCAGCCTCTCACCCAGTGGTTCCTAGGACAGTGGGCACAAGGAGGAAGGATAAAACATGTGTCATCCTGCCACTCAGAGCTGTGGCTTAGCCATTGGGAATCCTATATGGGAGCGACCCCAGGGCCTTGGCACCAGTTGGTCCATAGCCGGCCCTTTTCATTTTTTGTTTTTGTTTTTGTTTTTTGTTTGTTTGTTTGGGGTTTTTTTGCTCCGAATGCCTTCAGGGCAGGTTTGGCTGGCTGGAATTGTGGGGATCGAACTCCAGCAACCTGAGGCTGACAGCTTTGTGGAAGCAGCCACTTAAAGAACTGAGCTAGGGCCAGACCCCCTTGTTTGTTTTTTTGAGACAGGATCTTGCTAATTTCAAGGCCCAGTGTGGCCTCGAGCTTGTGGTCCTCCTCTTGCCTCAGCCTCCTGAGTGTTGGAATTATAGGTTCCCCCCCTGCGCACACAAATACCCTGACTAGTTTTTTGTTTGAGGCTGTCTTGCTAAGTTGGCCAGGCTGATCTCAAACTCTTGTTCTTCCTGCTTCAGCCTCCCAGTTGCTGGGATTACAGGCACTGGCCACCATGTTTTGCTTCCATTAGGAGCCTTAAGTTGTCCTTTATTGCCACCAAAAATTATCCTGCAACCCTTACATTCAGGAGGCTGAGGCAGAAGGATTATGAGTTCTAGGCCAGCCTCGGCTACAGTGAGACCCTGTCTGAAAAAAACTAAAACACAGTAACAAGAGAAAAATGAGTGCAGAGCTCTGAAGGAATGAGGTCCTCGGAGATGGACCCGGAGCTCGGGGGCTGGTGGCTGCACTCCATGAACAGAAGGAATGCCACTCTCAGCGGACCTGGACACTGGCGCCCAAGGACTGTGGGATGCTGGCTGTCTCAGGAACCTGAGGTTAGGCTCCATAATCAGCCCAAAGCCGGGGGCACCCAGAGCCACCCTGGGCCATCTGTGCCCCATGGACCCATCCTATCCTATGACACAGAGTGGAGAGGGAATTGGGGCCCACACTGAATGCCAGCTCCCAGCTCTTGGCTTTGGGGTCCTCCTCAGGCACTTTGGAGGGCACAGTCAGCCTGCAGCCTGTTGGGTGCCCTCACTGTCCCATGCTTCATACCTGAGTCACACAGGGCCACATGCAGGGGCCTATGAACAGCATCGCATCCCAGCTTGGGGCCCTGTGGGGCTCCAGTCCCCATGCCCCGCAGGATCAGCAGCTGCAGCTTCCCAGGTGCTCACCAAGCCACCCCTTGACGCCCCTGCACCTGGAATGAACTGAAACTAAACACATTCCACTCTGCCGCACCGGGCGCAGCCCCTGACAAACAGACGATGCCTGGACACTGATGATGCCCAGGTGGCTGGGCTCGTCTGGTCAGATCCTGGCATCCTGCGAGGCTGAGCCAGGAGCCTGTGGGCAGGCCCGGTCTGGGCAGCTGAATGAGAATGTATCTTAAAATAAAATTTTTAAAAGGGCCAGGGTCTTAATGCAAAGGCCTTGGATTCATCCCCTAACATTATAAAAACGAAAAGAAAAAGAATGTCTAACCAGGCACAGGGGAGCATGCCTGTACTCTCAGCCGTCTAGGAGACTGAAGCAGCAGGACCATTTGCGCCAAGGCTGGGCAACATGGGAGACTTGCCTTAAAAAGAAGAAAAAAGGGCCAGGGAGATGGCTCAGTGGAATAAGCGCTTCCCTGGCAAGCGCAAGGGCCTGAGTTCAATCCCCGGTTCTGCCAAAAAGAAAAAAGAAAAAAAAAAAATCAGGGCCAGTGAGATAGCAGGGCCAGTGAGATAGGTCAGTGGACTAAGCACCTGCTTAGGCAAGTGCAGAGACTGGGATTCAATCCCTGGTACCACGTACTACACTGGTGCCAGCCCCGGGTGCGGTAAACCAGCCACGGAGCAGGCATGATGGCGCAGGCCTGTAATCCCAGCGCTGGGGAGGCTGAAAACGGGAGGATCACTATGAGTCCAAGCTGTGTAGTGAGACCCTGTTCCAAATACGTTAAAAAAAAAAAAAAAAAAATCAGTTTTAAGTAAGGATGAGCTGGGTTTGGCTGTGAACTTCCTAGAATCTGGGGTCAGATCATTCCAAATCTCATTTTCTCATCTTTAAGATTAAGACGATGGCACCTGCTTGGTGGGGTTGTGTGGAGCCTGAATCAGCCAAAGTGCCCCGAGCCGTGTGGGGCACCTGGGATAGCAGCCTGTGAAGCGCGGTCTGAGCCCCACACTGACGGTTTGGTTCTCAGCTGCGCGTCAGTCTTGCCATCTGTGAAACACTGGTCATGGCTCTCTAAGAAGCATGTGCAGCTAATCTGTGTGACTAGGTGCTTTGAGCTCTGCAGAGGGATGTAGCAGGCTCGGATTGCGGAGCAGCGGGGTGTCACTAGGGAAACCAGCTGTCCGTAAACTTGAACCCCGACCCCTTACGCACTGCGCTGCACCACTAGCCTGTTCTGTGGCTCTGCCCCGTCAGTGTAGCAACACTGAGCAGGCATAAGGAAAGGAGGAATCAGCCTGCACCCTTTGGTTCCCCAGGAGCTCTGGTACCTTTGAAAATGGCTATTTTGGATACAACAGACAGATCATTGGCTGACTGAAAGAAACGGTAATCAGTATGTGAAGTTTCCTTTCCCAAGGACTGCAGAGGGTGCACAAGTTCCCTTCAGCATCTTTGAAACCATTAAGGAGGACAACCGCATAAACGCCTGCTGGGCCATCGCAGCACTTGCCTGTGGTCCCGGCACCAAGGATGCTGAAGCCGGAGAATGGCGGGTTTGAAGCCAGCCTGGGCTACAGAATGATATCCTGACTCAAAAAAATAGTAATCCCCTCACTGGGATAAAAGTCCTTTGGTTCCATGTCAGTGATGCAGTATTTTAGAACATGATGAGGCTCTTATTTTTCTAAGGAAGTACGCTGCTGCGTCCCGAGCATGACAGTAGTCCTGGCTGCGCAGCCTGCGCGTGCTGAAGTCTGCCTCTCCGCCTCTCCTGCGGTGACGAGCAGCTCCCCTACTGTCTCCTAGGCGGGCCCCGATGCCGTGCTGGGGAGGACGATCTGGGCCGTGCTGGGGCTGGGTGCCTTTGGGTTCCAGCTGAAGGAGGCCCCCGCCGGGAAGCACATCGTCACCACCACGCGCTCGCACGGCAGCCAGCTGGTGACGGACTGCGTGCAGGCCATGGAGCCGGACGCTGTGCTGCGTGTGGGCGGCGCCGGGAACAAGGTAGGGGCTGCTGACCCGGAAGCTGAGGGCTTCTGAAGCGTAAAACTAGAGTTGCAGGGAGGGCCCCGAAGATCGTCGCTTGCCACCGAGAGCGCATTTCAGCAATACTCAGGTTCTAAAAGGTGGGAGGCTCACGTCTCCCCCAGGTCAGGCCCTGGGGTGTCAGGACAGATCCTGTGTCGCTGCGAGGGAGGCCAGCAGGTGCCCAGGGACCCTGGGGTCCCTTGCCGAGACCTTGTCCTGCAGGCCCTGCCTGGTGCCTGCCTGCACCCCCAGCCCCGCTCCCGGCTGCCAGTGCCTGGCACTCCGCAGAGGACACAGCTGCTGTCCGGCCCTGGCCCTGCTCTGAGCCACCTCTGCCTGTGCACGGGTCGCACAGGCCCAGTGCAGTTCACGCTCCCCTGGGGCCTCCCGCCACATTCCTGTCCCTGTGTGCCATCTGTGGGCACCACCACGGTGGCACACACCTGCAACCCAGCGCTTAGGAGGCTGAGGCAGAAGGATCGCTGAAAGTTCAAGGCCTGCCAGGACTACACAGGGAGTTAGTGAGATCCTGTTTCAAAAAACAAATCCACAAAAGTTGGCGCTTCAGTAAAAGAGCAGCAGCAGATAATTCTGGAATGTCAGAGGCTCAGGCATTGGGCAAGTCAGCGCCGCTGTCTGCCGTCTGCTGTCTGCAAGGCCTTACTGTGGTGCAGACGGTGCGGCACTGTGTGGCATTGCTCTATTTAGTAATGGCCAGTTTTTTAGAAATTTAAAAGGCTTTATTCTATAATAAACATACATCCCCCCCCCCAATGCCTTCAGGGCAGGTTTGGCTGGCTTGAGTTCTGGGGATCGAACCACGGCAACCTGAGCCTGAGTGCTTTGTTGAAGCAGCCACTTAAAGAGCTGAGCTAAGGGGCAGGCCCGCCACACATTGCTTTTATAGTTAGTAAAAAGCCAATGTGAATGCAAAGCTCTGTTCATCTAACTCTGATCTGGAGACCACTCTCGTGTCTTCCTTGTACTTTGGCCAGTTCGCTCCCCTTCCGGTAGGTGGAGGATATTGTGCCCCCTTATTTATTTCCCCATAATCCTGGCGTCCTCTACCCTGGTGGGGGTTTGAGCGGCAGTGAGGTCTGGCGGAGCGGTGGCAGAGGAGGGGACAATGAGTGAGCCTCCTCCCTCTGTAACCGGCTCCTGGCAGCTGATTCGCACTTCCGACCTTCCAGATCATTCAGCTGATTGAAGGCAAAGCGTCTGCATACATATTTGCAAGCCCCGGATGTAAGAAGTGGGACACATGTGCACCCGAAGTTATCCTGCATGCGGTGGGAGGTGAGTGCCTTAGAGAACTACAGGGGATGCGCTGCCGGTGCCTCGCATCCCAGGGCCAGCACTGTGCCTCACTGCGGGGAAGCCTAGCACCCGTCCAGGCGGGAGCCCACATTTCATAAGTGAATAAGTCAGTTTTTAGAAAATTTTTCTTTTGTCTTCTTTTGGGACTTTGATCTCATAGTGTTTTTTTGTTTTGTTTTGTTTTTAAATATTAACTAAATGTGGACTTTATTCATGGGATGCGACCTAAATATTTTAGAAAAAACCTCAACTTTTCACACAAGATAACATTGTGCTTGTCACTCAGAACAAAGAGGGACTGGTTGTTCCGCTATCACAGCAGAAGTTCGCTACATATTTGGCGCAGGGGATGAAAATGGCAGCTGCAGTCCCGAGTGTCTGCCTGACCTTTCCTTGGGTTAGGTCTCCCCCATCCCGCAGCCTGACGCTCACGTCCCTGGAGAGCCCAGCAGTCCAGCTCTGAGGGCCTTGGATCTCTGGACCTTGTCCCGCAGCGTCCCAACCCCAGTCGGGCCTGGGCTAGGACTGGATCTCCTCATAGTTATTTTTAATTCAACCCTTACTTGCAATTTTTTTTTTTTTTTTTTTTCTGAACTGCGACTTGAACTCAGGCCCCTGCACCTGCCAGGCAAGTGCTTACTCCACTGAGCCATCTCCCCAGCCCCTTTGCAATATATTTTAACTGAGTTTTTGTCAGTGCATGTTTGTCATAGGTATCGATCACATTCATTGGAAGGAATTTGTGCCTAGCACATCTTGGGTCTTCCTTCTTACTGCACTTTTAGTGCTCTTGAAGGTTTTTTCCCTCTTTAGGAGTCAATGGTCACCTTCACCTCATTCCTCAGTTAATTTTTTTTCAGAACACTAAACACACACTCAGTCCTCCCGAAGCTGTACTGGTGGCTGTCTCAGTTCTAGTTCTAAGATAAAGGAGCTGGAAATGCAGTACACATGGACGCACATTAAGGTGGTTCCCCCTCACTAGACATCAGGTCCTGCCTGCGCTCAGAGAGCAGCGCCTGTTCAGTCCCTGCCCAAGGTGGAGCTACAGCTCAGCAGCAGAGCCCTTGCTTTGCAGCTCTGAGGCCTGGGTCCCAGCATGCGCATCAAAGGAACCTTAAAATAAAATCCATCAGCCAGGTGTGGTGGTGCACACCTGTAATCTCGGCAGTTGGGAGGCTGAGACAAGAGGATCCTCGTGAGCTTGAGGTCAGCCTGAGCTGCACAGTGCGACCTGTCTCAAGAATCAAGCATAAATAAAGTAACCAGAGCAGACTGGAGGTCGAGCCCAGTGGTAGAACGCGTGCTCAGCATGCAGCAGGCCCTGCGCTCCAAGCCCGGCGCCTGCGCCTCCCAGAGCCCTGCCCACCGTCTCTCTGCAGGCAAGCTGACGGACATCCACGGCAACGCCCTGCAGTACAGCAAGGACGTGAAGCACATGAACTCCGCTGGGGTCCTGGCTGCCCTGAGGAACTACGAGTACTACGCAAGCCGCGTCCCTGAGTCTGTCAAGAAGGCACTGGTTCCTTAGAAGAGTTTCCTTTCCTCAGCCTGGAGGACTTGGTTCTCAGAACAGTACATTTTAAATCTGATTGGGTGGAATTATTTATCGTTGATCAGTAACTTATATTAGTTACTTGGGAAGAGAAATCGCATTAGAGAATTGGCTGCCTTTATGGGGTCTAACTCCTACCCCTATGTGTGTGATGCATTTTGCCTGTTATTTTTACTGTTAAAAAAAAATAGCCAGGCATGGTGTGGGGCTGCCCAGGAGGCTGAGGCAGAAGTTCAGGGTGCAAGTGAGATCCTGTCTAGACATTAAAAAAAAAAAAAATAAAATGCATTTAGCTTTATTAATCAGCCAGGCCAATCGTGAATTTGGAGACTTGATAAACCAAACATGTTAGATTTCTTTTCTTCTTCTCAGGTGGAGAAATGAGAAAGGTTTAGTTGTAGCTGACCCTTTTGGTCATTTGTGCAGTTGACATTCCTGGCTCATAAGCCAGATTTCTTAAGGGCACAGATACTTGAGTTGTTCTAGAATTCCACTCTTGTTTTTCCCAGTAATTTTTAAGGTGTTCCTACTCCAATTATGAATGTATATATTGTTATTATGTTTGATGAGACATTTATGGGAAAAGTTTCTTCAAAATAAATTATTTAATTGTGGCTGTTTGTTATTTATCCAGGGCTTTTTTTTTTTTTTAGTACATTGAAAATTATAAATTTTTCTACTGTTGGAATTGATTTCATTTTTTTAAAAATTTCTTTATTCTTACAGTATTATTGTAAGAAAGACTTACCTGTGGAAAGCTGGGCTCTCTCTTTCTTCCATCTAATGAGAGGTTATAACATTTCACATTTGAGCCATGGCTTGCATTTTTATATTTGAGGTCTCTGTCCATTCCTTTCAAAATTTCACTTTTTTCAGTGAAGGCCATGGGTTTTTTTAAATTTTATTTTATGTGTGTGTGTGTGTGTGTGTGTGTGTGGCCAGCTCAGCCCACCAGGGGGCGGGGCTGACTGGCATGTGGTGCTGGGGGATTGAACCGCGGTCCCTGTGCTTTGCTAAGTTTGTTCTAAGTAGGTGCTTTAGACCACTGAGCCATCTCACCAGCCCAAGGCTGTAGTTTATGTTGACAATTCCCAGGCACACTGTGGGGAAGAGCATGTGGTTAGCCTGTACTAACCGAGCTCAATCATTAGCACAAAAACAGCAAAAAGCCAAAGCAGTTCCAAATGTGACTTCATATCAGAGTCCCCTGGAAAGGTTTTTATTTGTTTGTTTGTTTGTTGGAATGTATTTAATACAAGATCTACAGGGTCTCACTACACAGATTTGTAGTGATCCTTCCTGTTTTTTAACCTCCCAAGCACTGGGATTACAGGATTGAACCCTGGTCACGCTCTAGTCCGCTGAGCTATCTGGCCGGCCCTGCCCGGGAAGGTTTTACTTCAAGTATGGACTCATGCCAAGTGTGGTGATGCCTGGACGGCCGTCCTCTGTGGGAGGCGGAGACAGGAGGGCCACTAAGTCAGGTCCAGTTCGGGCAAGAGTCTGGTCTGGCCACTGATTGTGGTGGCCAAGACACCCCCATATCCGAGGCATTGAGTCCAGGGCAGAAGCTCAGCTCAGCCCAGAACACTGGAAGCCTGTGTCTTGTAGTCAATAGCACCGACACCCACCCCCTAACCCCCCGTAGGTGGGAGGCCTGTGACTCCCTGGAGCCCATGGAGTTGGTGAGTGGTAGGGTGGCTTCTGACACTAGGCGAGGACAAGCCTGGCGTGTGGACACAGTCTGCCACGGAGGAGCACAGGAGGGACTGCCTGCTGAGACCGGCTGCTGTAGCTTACATCCCCAGGCACAGAGCTGAGCGCAGTCAGTTGCCCTGCTCTTCGGGAGACCAGACAAGTGACCCTGCCTGATGCCACCGAGCCGCGGGTGTGACTCAGCCAAGGGTCACCGAGCTTCCCACCCCCACAGGAGTATGGCACAGGACAGCACGGGTGCTGCTTGAAGCTCCTGAGTTTGGGGTGGTTTGTTAACAGCAATAGATAAGTGAATCAACTTCAGTGTCTATTTTCCTATTGAAAACAACCTATTGAAACCTGGTGATCAATAATAATAACACACCAATTAAATTACATTTTTTTTTCTGCTGGGATCCAATCCAGGCCCACGCACATGCTAGGGAAGCACTCGGAATTCCCAAAGAGCCAGCTTCTAATTAAGGCCCAGTGGATCTTGTTGAGGGCTGGGGATATACCTTGGTGGGGAGCACTGGCCTGGCACGCCTGAGGCCCTGGTGCGACATTCCTAAGCCTGAAAAAACAAGGAATCTTACAAGACAAAATTGTTCTCAGTTCCTCCAAATTGGTATGTGCCGTATATACAATGGATACCTATCTTTTCCCGTTTGGTAGTAGAAACAACCTGGGGCCTTCACGTTGAGTTGTATCTTCAGCCATTTTATTTTTGTCTTTATTTATTTTCTGACACAGGGTTTCCCTATGCAGCTCAGGCTGGCCTTGAGCTCACTTTGTAGGCCATGCTGGTGTTGAGCTTGCAACGATCCTCCCGCCTCAGCCAGCTGAGTGCTGGGATTATAGGCCTGCACCACCATGCCTCGCCTCTCCAGCCATTTTTAATTTTTTATTTTGAGATGGGGTTTCACTAAGTCTAAATTGCCCAGACTGGCTCAGACTTGGGATCCCAGTACTGCAGCTTCCCAGAGTGCTGGGATTCTAGGCATGTGCCACAAGCCCAGCACTCTAAATGAAACTATGTGAGTTACTAACTGCAGTAGAGACTGCTTCTCATTCACACATAAGTGAAGACAGAGCACAGGGTTGGAGACTTAGAATAAAGCATGCCTTTTGGCAATGATGCACACAGTGCAGGCCTGGGAGCCTGCTGGGCTGGTTATAGAAGGGCAGGACCTGTGTATTTCTGAGAAACAAGCACATTTTCTTTCCCTCCAGTGATGCAACATCAAATCCTTCATGTCTGCTTCCCCCTGGGCTGCAGCCCAAATGCTTCAAACCAGGCCTCCTTTAGTGTAGGGCGTAGCTCTGAGGTAGAGTAGCTCAGGATGAGTAAGGCCCTTAAAGTCTTCACCCATTAAAGCTCTGCTCCTTTTATCCCATCTTGTTCAGTCCTGTGACCCTGTTACTTTTTTTTTATAGAACTTAATCACTATGAAATTGTTCAGTCCAGTGTCACCACACCCTAATGTAAATTTCATACAACCAAGGTCTTGGCTTCATTCACTATGTATTTGTAGCACTAAGAACACTGCCCGGCAGCAGGATGTGCTTTAAAATCCTGCAAAATGAGCACTGTCATAGGTTGTTGAAACCTTCCATGATGGTGCCCCTCTATGACACACCTTGGGAGAAATTTAATTCCGCTCCCTGGAGCAGGACAATTCTGCTTTTCCAGTTTCCTCCTGGTTCTGAGGCCACCTCTGTCTGAGACAGCGAGCTGGGTTCATGCTGTCTGTATCATTCTGGGTTTTACTAGGGAAGCAGACATAACACCAGATGTACAGACTATAAGAGATTGCAAGCGTGGCACACGATGGTCAGCCAGAGTCGGATGAGGAAGCACGCAGAGGGCGTCTGCACGCTGGAGACTGGAGGGTTCAGCCCGAGGTCTGGAGCTCGCTGCCGTGTTCCGCGCAAGTCCTATCAGCTGGCCAATGGGTCTGCGATGGATGGCAGGTGCATCTGCACTGTAAGGCTGAAGGGTCCAAGGCAGGAGCCGGAATCTGCGCTGCAAGCCAGAGATGACGCCCAAGCTGATGGCAAAGACCGGGGCTCCTCCAAGGAGCGCAAACCCCTCTGTCTTTGCTCATTTCCCTTTATACCATCCAGGTGATGAGCTGCCTGGTGTGGGTCCTCTACACCTGAAGGCATAGAATGGCTGAGCTGATTTATTTATTTATTTATTTATTTTTGGAGCTGATTTATTTTAACTTCTAAACTTCTCAAGTTGACACAATCAATCATTACAATGTACCCCTTGGCAACTTGGCAACTAGACACATTTCAAAGGCATGCTTATAATTGCACCTAACATGTTAGAACCATCCTACATACAAACAGAAAGGTACTCATTCACTCACCAGAACAGAGGGTAGGTTTTCCTTGGGTGATGCTTACTCTCATCATTTCATAAATGGAACAGTGTAATACAGCTTTAGCAACCCTTAAGAACCAGTATTAAGCCTGCCAACATTATCTTACATTAGAACCATATTAGGGGAGAAACAGCACAATTATAACCTTTTCTGTAGCTGGTCCTGGACAAGTCGTAGCTGACATTTAGAACAACCTTCTTCCCTCCCCGTTCTGTATTCACTTGGTCTCCAACAAGCACCTCCTCAGTCAGATTTACATTAATGTAACATTAATGTAACATACGCACAACTTGTAGAGAGCAGCTGAAGCTGGAACTGAATCACGCATGCAGGCCTCCGACGACGCCGGCCCTGAGCAGGGACAGCTTGGAAGGGAGACATTTGCGCTTGCAAGCGGGGTGCCGGCAGAGAGGCTGAGACTGGCGTCAACTTCCCGAGTGTATAGATCAAAACTCTGCAGTTCTTGGGCAGTTTCTTTTCTTGGAAAAATGACCCTGTGTAGGAGAGCGGGCCCCACCTGACCTCAGCGTTCATCTCTTATCATTACTTCTTTATCCTCTTGCCATTTTCCCAGGATCACCGAGAGCCAACTGCATTCGTTCCCACACCAACAAGAAAATATTCAAAGGGTGACCAAAATTCAGGGTTAAAACCGTAATACTGCTGGGTGTGGTGGTACACGCCTGCAATCCAGCACTCAGGAGGCAGGAGGATTATTCAGAGTTTGAGACCAGCCTGGGCTACAAAGTGAGCTCAAGGCCAACCTGAACTGCATAGCAAGACCCTGTCTCAAAAAAGACAAAACAAAAAACCCACAATACTTTGACTAACCTGATTACAAACACATCTAAAAAGGACATTAAAATCATACGAAAAGAACTGTTACAATCATTTGCTTTTCATTACTTTTTAAGGGCCAGGGAGATAGCTCAGTAGAATAAACACCTGCCTGGCAAGTGCAAGGTCCTGAGTTCAATTTCCAGTACTGAAAAAAAAATTACCTTTTAAAATTTATTCATTATTTATTTATAGGTTCTCACTATGCAGCTGAGACTCGTGTAGCAATCCTGTTTTCAGTGTCCCCAGTGCTAGGATTACAGGTGTGCACCAGCATGCCCAGTCTCAGTGGCCAGCTTAGTGCCCAGGGCTGGCACAACATGCAGTACTGGGGATCGAACTCAGGTCCTTGCACTTGCCAGGCACTTAGACTACTGGGCTATCTCCCCAACCCCCCATTAACTTTTAACAGGGCACAGCAAGACTGAAAAACAGGAATCTCCCGCAATTCAAATATACTCTTTATCTTGAAAGACTTTAGGTCATTTTTCCCTTGTCCTGTTTTTTTTTT